AGTGGATGCTACACTCCCAGGACCAAACTGAAATTACAACAAAAATACAAAAAAAAAAACCCTAGCTGGTTTGACTCAGTGGATAAGAGTGTCAGCCTGCAGACTGAAGGGTCCCAGGTTCGATTCCAGTCAAGGGCACATGCCCAGGTTGTGGGCTCGATCCCCAGTGTGGGGTTTGCAGGAGGCAGCCGATTGATGATTTTCTCTCATTGTTGATGTTTCTCCCTCTCCCTTCCTCTCTGAAACCAATAAAAAATATTTTTAAAAAATACAAAAAAAGCCACCCTGAATAATCAACTGAAGACTAGCTGGAGAGAACCCTAATAACCAATGACGGGAAGTGGAGACTGCATAGAGACTGATTAAAAAATAAATAAAACACACATCTTAACTAAGACAGTAAAGGTGTACTTAACTTTTTTTTAAAGATTTTTTCACCAGTTTTTCTTTTTCTTTCTTTTTTAATATATTTTTATTGATTTCAGAGAGGAAGGGAGAGGGAGAGGGAGAGAGACAGACAGAAACCTCAATGATGAGAGAGAAGCATCGATTGGCTGCCTCCTGCACACTGCCCCCCAACCCCCACCCCAGGGATCGAGCCCAAAACCCAGGTATGTGCCCTTGACCAGAATTGAACCCGGGACCCCTCAGTCCGCAGGCTGACATTCTATCCACTGAGCCAAACCAGCTAGGCTAGGGCAATGTACTTAACTCTCGCTATTAAATGACAGTAAATAAAATCCAACAAGTAAAAAGAGAAAATGACACTGGTGTAGTCCACATGGTCTCATAAGCAATCAGATATTGGATTTTGATTGCCATCAATTACCACTGCCTGTTGCTTCTCATTCATTAACCAAAAACGTAAACAATCTCTTAGTTACAAAAGTTTTAAAATTCTAAACTAGTTTTAGAATTGTTAATCCCACCCAATAAAATCCCTTAGAATCTGGTCTAAAAATAAAACTATGTGTCAAGTGTTTCTCAAGAAAAACTATGTACACTGATTGGAATGTGAGGCAATTAATACACTTTGTGAGTGATTTGCCAAAGAGACTTCACACAGCCTGGGCCAAAACCAGTAACAAAGAAACAACACCCACTTGACATTTTCCTTGGTTAAAATGAGATCCTAGGAGTAATTTTAGAAGAAAGGCTAACATCTGAAGTTAACTACTAAAATCGCTGAGAGCTACATAAGTATTCTGGGAGAAATTAAGGAAAAGATGACTCAACCAATGTAAAATTAAAGATGAAAACTTTAATACATTATTAAGGAATTTTTACTCACAACTTTAAGGCAAGAATAAAATACCCAGCCATTACTATCATGAAGATAATAAGCAAGGTTAATTTAGCCCTACACATGAAATACTAACTGAATTTAGCAGCACAAATATCTGGTATTACATTTTGAACCTAGTCTGTTTGTTAAATAGGAATCCTTTTCCACCCATACACATACATGAACACACATACACACACAAAATAAGACAACCTAAATATTACAAACCCATCCTAAATCAGCCCAGTGTTCCTTAGTTTCCAATTAATTTAGTCAAGGTGAGCAATTTTCCAACTACAGTAATTTGTTTTAAAGAAATGAGACTTCCGTGATTTTGCACAATTTAAAAACAAAACAAAAAACTTTTTAAGTCACGATTTTGTGGTTTCATAAACCCCCTAGTATCACGTTAGTCCACTGTCTTTCAAAAGCAATATTTAAAATTCTCTTCTGCAGATCAACATTAAGGCATGCTGTTTGGCTAACAAGCTCCTCCCAAGACCAGGATTATTATGTATGGCCTATTATGTTCCTAACATGCAAAACAAAAGCACTCCCTCATCTAACATTTTTCTATTTTTAGGCAGTAGGTTATCAACAAAGTTTTATCTGAAATTAAAGTGCAACAGAATCATACATCTAACAAGGCTACTTAAAATAGTAATTTGAAGATATTAATTATATTTTCCATTTAATAAGTAATCTAGTGCTTCTGGAAAAGTGAAATTTAATTTCCAAGTTTTTAATCTTCAGAGAAAACCACCTACTGTGATTTCCACAAGTGCCATGTTTTAAACTAAAAGCAACTAGTTTCAGAGCAGTTGTAATACACTTGATTTTAAACATTCTCCATTTCATCTTTTAGATTCTTTTCATCATAAATGACCAGCTTAATCTGCTTCTCACTGTTTTCTTCAGCTAAACCAAATCCCTTAAAATATTTTAATGTATTTCACTCAAGTCTTTTACTTTGAAGGCATACACTTTTTTTTCAACTACTAACAAGAGTTTAACAAGACTAAGCAATTCCACTATGATTTATGCTCATAAACACCACATACCTAAAAGATAAGCTTTTACAACAGAAACTGTAACGGGTTTATTTTCCCAAGTATCCAGTGTTCAACTGGGTCAAATGCTTCTGTTGCAATTTAAGCAGTTTAGTCCTTGAAGTGGTAAGAGTGAAAATAAGCCAAAAGAGTCTTTTTTTTTTTTTTAAGACAAGTTGTGGGGGATAACATTAGTTAATAATATAAGTTTCAGGTGTACAATTTCATAACACATCACCTATATATTCCATCCAAAGTCTAGTCTCCTTCCATCAACATCAAGAGCATCACAACTCAAGAAAGATTTAGAAACTGTTAGCTGAAGTCTGTTAATATGATAATAAACAACACTTTAACATAGCATTAATCACAATACAGCTCTTTTGGGGAAATCGTGTTCATAAAGCTAAAGACTTTATAACAGAATTGGAATCCATGGACTCAATCCAAAGATACAGTTTACTGTACAAAACACATTTACTAAACTTAAAATACTCACTTGCATTCTACACTTTTTCAGACGTTTTACATAACCTGCCAATTTCTATATGACTGGACAGTAGTCATTTAAAATGCAGTACGAGTACAGTGTACTACATTTATAAAGTCAACATTTTTGTGAGCAAGTTATAACTTTAAAAGAGTGATTTTCAACTTTTTTCATCTCATAGCACACACAAACTAATTACTAAAATTATGCGGCATACACAAAAAAATATATTTTTTGCCTTTCTGACAAAAAAAGGATATAATTTGATTCATTCACACAGGACAGCTATTGTTGGCTGGCTGTTGTCTTTTTATTTAAAAATCTAAGTGTTGCTTTTTTTTAGAGAGAGAGAGAGAGAGAGAGAGAGAGAGAGAGAGAGAGAGAGAGAGAGAGAGAAGGGAGGCTGGGAGAGGGAAGAAGAGGGAGTCTAGGGGGGAGGGAGGGAGGGAGAGAGAGAGAAACATGGACTACTTGTTCCACTAATCTATGCATTGATTCCTGTCTGTGCCCTGAAGGGAGAAGACAGAAGGAACAGCAACCTTGAGTCCAATGGAGACAATGTTCTAACTGAAGTACCCGGCCCGGGCAGGTGTTGCATGTTTTAAAAATTCTTGAGACACACCAGTGTGCCATGGCACACCGGTTGAAAATCGTTGCTTTAGAAGAATCTTCTGCAAGAATCCCTAGGAATATGAGTTCAGTTTATTCACTGTGTAAAGCACTTACCAAAAATATTCTTAACTGGGTTTAACAAAGTAAATCTTTTCAATTACTATCAGCTTCAACATCATCAAGGGGGGAAATTAGTCATCAGCAAGAAAAAAAAAAAGAACAAGCAACACATTTAAAATAATCCAAATGTAATCAACTAGTTCACTATCTTCCACAAAGAGCCTTCACAATCTAGACACCTCTTCCTTTAGGCCCTCATCTCTCACCACTTCCTTCCAGCACCCCAGACTATTTGCTGCTCCCCAAACTCATCCCAACCCCAGCATGGCTCTGCGCTTCGCACCAGCTGTTCCTTCGCTTGAGCATGCTCTGCCCTCCCCACCTGGCGAGCACTTACTCATCCAAACAAACCTCGGTGCAAAAGTCCCCTCCAGGGGACACGCTGCCTCGACTCCCCCAAGGAAAAGCCAGTTCCCAGTTCCCACTGGGTCCGTCAGTCCGTCCCCATCACGGCGCATTGTTTTCACGCCCGGGGGGCGGGGGGGCAACAGAGGGTAGATTCCCCCCACTCAGCCCCCAAAGGACCAGGCCAGCAGAAATACTCCACGGACGGGCGCCGAATTCATCCCCACACAGACCGAGTGCTCCTCCGGAGCCCGGCCCCGTCTCCAGGAGACACGGGAGAGCCTATCACTCTTCCCACCAGAAGAGGAGCACCAGAGGCACACCCAGAGCCCCGCCACGGGAACAATGAATGAACACCGCCGCCTCGCCTCCCCGGGCGTCCAAACTCCTCTCTCCCGGCATCGCCTGGCGCTGCAGAGCCCGTGGTGCAGCTGCAGAGCTGAAGCGGCCCGGCGGCTCTCGCTCCACACAAAAGACAGCCCTGGGCCTTCATTCCAAAGCATCCCGAGACCAGTGCTCAGCATAAGCACCCCAAACCTTTCGTTAATAACCCCGCGAGTCCTGAAACCCCAGGCGAGGTCCCTATGCCTTCGGGGGGGGGGGGGGCAGTGACCTATCAGATCCTCCACTGGTCCCGGGTTCCTCTCGTCTTCCCTAAAAAGGCTGTCACTTGAGTGACGGTCCCTGAGAGAAGATGCCAGCCCGGGTCCCACACTCCGCGCCCCCCCCTCCCCGCCCCCAAGAAAAGGAATGAGCTCATCTGAGTGACAACACAATACGGGGCAGCTCCGGGCGGCTTTTCCCATTACCAAAACGTGAGGAATGTGCACGGGATACAGGGGTGGCGCCGGCACGTTCCCCCGAAACACAAGGAAATTAGAGCGGAGATGTGGGAACTCGGCTCGCCGGCCATGACACAGGGCCCCGGGGTCCCCGCCCGCCAACGCCACCGGGGTGACAGCGGCCTGGCTGGGGCCCTCCACCCACCAGCCGCGGGGCCACTCCGTCAGCGCCGCCCAGTCCGGGCCGACGGGGAAGCGACCCTTTCAGCCCCGCCGCCCGTCTCCCCCGGCATCCAGGCTTCGGCCCCGCCGCCTACCTGAAGGAGCCGGGCCGCCTCCGTGTCCCGTCGTCCGTCCGGCGGCAGCGTCTGGCCCGCTCCTCCTCCCCGCGCCGGGTGAGGGAGCGGGAGGCAGTCACATTCGGCGCGTCCCCAGCCCAGGGGACGGGGCCCCGGGCAGCCCCCGCATCGTCGCACTCGTGCTGCGCGCCTCAGGGCACACGCCCCAAAGCCCGGGCAGCCGGCCCTCTGTGGGGCCCAAGGAGAGCGGCAGGGAACCCTTCTCGTCTCACGCTCCTTCTCGTCTTACTCCCTCCATCTAAGATGGCGGCCCCAGCGCCCGCGATGAAGAAACTCTCGGGCGGCCCCGGCAAGCGAGCGGTCCGCTCGGCCCTCCTCCTCCCGACCTGCGGCGCCACCGTCTCTCTGCTTCTGCGCGAGCCCGCCTGGCTCGGGTATCTATCGCTCTGGCCTGAATGTAGGCCCCGCCTCCCTGGGAAGGGGCGTGGCCTCGCCGTCCAGCTGGTCGCCATTTCGGAGATGGGCAGGCTGTAGGGCCAATCGTCGCCGGCGCTTGGGAGGGGCTGTTGGCAGCTGAGAAGGGCCAGCGATTGGCCGCCTCCCAGGGGTCTGAGGCCAGAGGGAGGGAGGCCAACTTGCCAGCATCGCAAGGCCGGGAAGTACCTGAGGATGCTCGGCGTCGACGGCTGTCCAGCTTGGGCGCATCCCCTCCAGAGTCGGGCGCTAGGGTTATCAAATCGCGACTCCACCACTTACCGGTTAGGTGGGAAAGTCCCTAAACTTTTCTGAAACTCAGTTTCCTCATCTGTAAATTGGTGGTTCCTTTTCCCCGCCATCAGATTGGCAAGAAGTTAAAAAGTGGTAATATCCAGGGTGGTCCAAAACAGATGAAAGCCCGTCGTGGACCCGCCCTCCATCAGCACTGGCCGGAATGGGTCTGGGGAGGGCAATTGATTCTCTATTGACATGTTTAATGTACATACCCCTCCTCCCACCAATGCCACTTCTAGGTACGAATTCCAAAGCAATATGAACACCTATGCACAAAAAAGGTATGTGCAAAGATGTTTATTGCCATATTGTTTGCATTAGAGATACACTCGCACTATTTATAGGAAGCCGTAGGGCTGGCTCATTCTTTTTTAACAGATAGATGATAGGTCTTCCATACTGTGGAGCTAGCTCCGTTTATGCAACCAGTTTCCTATAAATAATATTCAGGCAATATGTGCAGTATTAAAGAAAAATAAAGTGAAGCACAATGAGATAATGTTGGAGTATGTGGACCAACATGAAAATACTAGTAAGTGCAGGGGAAAGATGAAGGCATTGAATGCGGAGGAAGTATGAGGGGCGTTGTTTTTTGTTTGTTTTTTTTAAATAGGAATCACTAAAAAAAACCAAAATTCAGCCCAGTGTAAGGGGTCTTCCTATGCACCTAAAAGTTGCCGGTTGGATTCCCAGTCAGGGCAAATGCCTGGGGTTACCGGCTTAATCCCCAGTAGGGGGTGTGCAGGAGGCAGCCTATCAATGTTTCATTCTCACGACGATGTTTCTCCCTCTCCCTCTCTCTAAAAATCAATAAAAAATATATATATTTTTTTAAAAAATCCAATTGAGTAATCTTGAAGATCTAATTGACCTTATTGAGCGATATCAGGCAGCATCCTACCCAGCAACTAGAAAGGTGCTCCTAGGGGTACGAAATGGAAGGTTTTTGTAGGAAGAAGGGTGGGGCAAGGGAGCTATTGGGGATGGGGCAGTAACATCTTTTCTTTGGGGGAAGAGAAGGGAAAGGGTTTTATCATACAGATTGCCTCTTCTTTCCATGGGGGATGGAAAGGGCCTGTGTGACAGATTACCTTACCGGTGCTTGAACAGAAAATTGTGTCTGGGAGAGGTTGAATCTGCGATTAGATCAGGTATTAAGTCTAGGTTTGGTATCATGGGCTTTTAATATGAGTGACACATTCTGGGCCTGTCGTTTTTTTTCTTTAACATAACAGCAACACCTACTTCATAGGATTAGATAATAGGAAGCACTTAGCACAGAGCCTTGGGTTTTAGACTTCAGTTTGTGGAGTCTAACTGCCCAGGTTCAAATTTGTACTCTGCCGCTTCTTCAACTGTGACTTGGAAAAGTCCTTTAGACCTCAGGTCCTTAGCTTCCTCATCTACAAAGAAAACATGATGGCACCCACCTGATAGCAAGGTAAGACTTTGGTGAGTTGAAGATGTAAAGCACTTAAAATAGTGCCTGGCTCATTTACACTAAAAGTGTCAGCTGTAATTACTATAGCTATCTCTTATCATCATCACTATTTAGGGCAGAGAGGCAAAGCCACACCTGCTGACCCTAGGCCATTCCTTTCAGTTGACCCAGGTATTTGTCCTGCACTTCACAGCTTAGAAATCTTCAGGAACCTGTGCCTCATTCAAACCTCTCAGCTGATCAATATCGTGCCAAAAAAAGAAGAAAAAAAAAGTGCCGACTTAATTTTTTCAAAAAAATTTTTGAGGTAAAATTCACACTGCATGAAACTAACCATTTTATAGTAGCAATTAGTACATTTACAAGGTTGTACAACCACCACCACCATCTAGTTCCAAAACATTTCCATCACTCCAAAGTAAAACCCATTAAACAGTTTCTTCTATCCCACCCCCACCCAGCCCCTAGCAGCCACCAATATGTGTGTTCTATCACCGTGGCTGTATCTGTTCTGGGTATTTCATATAAATGGAATCATACAATATGTGACCTTTTGTGTCTGGCTTCTTTCACTTAGCATAATGTTTACGAAGGTTCATCCATGTGGTTGCACGTGTCATTACGTCATTCTTTTTTATAGCTAAATAGGTAAATATGTACCACTTTGTTTACCCATTCATTTGTTGATGGACATTTGGGCTGTTTCCATTTCTTTGCTATTGTGCATAGTGATTGCTATGAGCATGCATGTATATGTACTTGTTGGAGTACCTGTTTTCAGTTTTCTCAGGCATATACCAGGAGTGGAATTGCAGGAATCACCTTGCACTCCGCTGGGTTGCATGTCCCCACTTTGAAACCTCTCTCTGATTTGGTGTGTTGAAGAAATGTCCAAACCTGTAGAGAATTTTTATAAGAGTTTATTTGAGCCAAACTGGTGACACATGCCAGGGAGCAAGATCTCAAATCCTCCAGAGAATAACAGTTTTGCAGTTTCTTTTTTGCCTTTGAAATTAAGGAGAGGCCATAAGGAAGATCACATGGAGGGAGAAAGCAAGGCAGAGACTGGATTACAAGGTTGTTGAACCCATATTAGGGTGGACTCGTATTAGAAGGAGGGGTATGAGCCCGGCTGGTGTGGCTCAGCAGCTGAGCGCTGACCTATGAACCAGGAGGTCTCTGGTTCAATTCCTGGTCAGAGCACATACCTTGCTTGCAGGCTCGATCCCCAGTGGGGGCTATGCAGGAGGCAGCCAATCGATGATTCTCTCTCATCAATGATGTTTCTATCTCTCCCTCTCCCTTCATCTCTGAAATCAATAAAAATATGTTTAAAAAAAAAGAAAGAAAGGAGGGTTGTGAAAGGGAGCATTTCAAAGGTGTGTTAACCTAGATTCACAGAAACAAAGGATAGGGCTTACTTAAGGCAAAGATAAGCCTTTTAGTAGAGAAGCTCTATACCTGGGCCATGAATACCCACCCATCTACTTCCCATAGAACCCCTTTTTTTCATCCACAGGTGGTAGGAGAGGTCAGGAGAGCTAGGGTTATTCGGAAAGGTCTCAGGAGAGAAAAGGGGGAAAGGAATGAGTCAGAAATGGCATCAAGGAAGACTGGACATGCCATGATCTCGGATCAAACAGAGGAGGGGAAGAACAGGAGGTATGCTCGGTGGGAGGAGTGATTGGGGAGACTACTATGGAAACTTGCCTGGGTATTGGAATGCTCTACTCCTTAATTTAGGAGGTGGTTACATGGGTGTGTGTATATTATATGTACCTACATATATACCAGTAACTGGTATGTGCACTTTTCTATACATTTGTTACACCTCAATAAAAAAATTCTTTGGGAAAAAACACCAGGTCTCTAAGCCTGGCAAAAGGGTGCACTTTTCAGATGAAGGAAAGAAAAACTTCACAAATAATAGTTACCTTTCATGGAGCCTCTTCATATGATCAGACATTTTACACAATCTCCCTTACTCATCTCAACTTGAAAGGCCTGATCTTCAAATGAGGAAGCCTTCTGAGAGGGTAATTAATCCAAGGGCAAAGCTGGGAAGTGGTGGAACAGGGATCTGAACCTGTTCATTTGTTTATTCCTCACGAAGATTAACGTTGTCCTTAATATGTGCCAGGCCCTGCACTGAACAAGTCAAAGTCCCTGCCCTCGAGGTCTAGCAGGGAGACAAGCGGCAAACAAGTGAACCAATATATCAACACGAGAGTTAGGATTGTGATAAATCAATAAAGGGAATGACTAGAGCAGTGCTTCTCAACCTTCTGGCCCTTTAAATACAGTTCCTCATGTTGTGACCCAACCATAAAATTATTTTCGTTGCTACTTCGTAACTGTCATGTTGCTACTGTGATGAATCGTCATGTAAATATCTGATATGCAGGATGGTCTTAGGCGACCCCTGTGAAAGGGTCGTTCGACCGCCAAAGGGGTCTCGACCCACAGGTTGAGAACCGCTGGACTAGAGCATGATAGAAGGGGGAGGGGAATGCCTGTAGACTTCTCTTAGGTGGTGGTTAAGCTGGGCACTGAGACATGAGCGAGAGCCAGGGGAAGAGCATGCTAAGCAGTTGGAACAGCACTGAAGGGCCATGAAGTGGGAAAGGAGTGCAGGCCAGTGTGGTCAGAGCACAGAGAAGGCTGGGGAGGAGATGAGGCTGGGGAGGTGGGAAGAGGACAGAGGATGGAGTCATATTTGGTCTGACTCCCAGTCCCGTGGCCTTTCCATTCCATCCTGCCTCTCTGGTGAGTTTAATTTTAGTCACAGATGGGTTTGAAGTGTGGGCTGGCCTGGACTGAGTGCTGGAGAGGGCGCCAGGTAAACAAACAGTTACCCCACCAGGTGATCCCAATGTACTCTAATGGCGAGCTATCCAAGTTCTGTGGGAGGGCACCCAGAAAGGGGAGGGAGCTACCAGTT